TGGATCCGAAGACGGCGCGGGGGGGGGGGGGGTTGGCTGAAAAGATCGGTCCATGGTTTTGCCGAGCTATAATACCGTGCATTTCCCCGGCGTCAGTTTTGTTTGATATGTTATCGTGAAACAATTGCTGGTGGTCATATCCGAGGCGATTCGTGTAGTTTACTCGTCGGATCTCATCTGTTGATAATTGCCGATTTGGCGACATGGGTGAAACAAGGCAGGGAATATTTGAAGGGAATTGGACCGTCGTGGGGTGCAAGTACCACTCGGAGGTCTGCTGAGCCATGACGGGAAAGACGGTCATTGGGACATGGGAAAGAAGAAAAAAGGGATTTCAAGTAATGCCTTTCTGACTTTCAATAAAGGAAGAAGTGGTTTAAGAACAGACAAGTACCGATGCTTGCTAGTGCCCTACCCTAGATGCTCGCGTCGACGTGACTTGTATTCTCGGCATGAGGACCATGGGGCCCGTGGTTTTACATATTCATACGAGTACTTGAAGGCCATGTGGTTCTGGTAAATTCATCTCGATACTAGCTTTGGCGTGTGTTTTCCGGGTATGTTTTTTCCTTTGATTCTCCAAGGTCTTGTTATTTCCCGCGAGCCCACTGCCCGAGACGTCATCCAAGGCAGAGAGTAGTTGGCCAACATTGACGTGACCTCGAACAACATGGCTTGGCGGAAAGTGCGGGGAAAGACGAATCTTGACAGAGTTCAATGGGTTGTTTTCTTCCGTGGTAGCTGATTGACTTGTATGCTCGAGTCAAGACGGCAGACGTGTTTGAAGAGCTACGCTGGTGGTAGTATATGAGCAGTGGAATGTATACGATCGTCTCGGGGTTTGAAATGTGGTGTTTGGGTGGCGTTGATGAGATGGCCTGCTTTTGCTACACCCTAGGGAAACGGAATAAAGAGATGGTAAAGAGCTAGACTTTGGCGGTGGCAGGTAGATCTTTTAGGCAATACTTGCTCCATTCTTGATGGTTTTCTTTTTTTGCTTTGATTTCCATTTTGTTGTTGTGGCCATGCCTCTACTGCTGCTTGTCAGGCATGGCCTCCGCGTATGGGCAACGCAGGCTGAGCGTATTGTTTGAGATTTCTGGTGAACTTTTGGTGAACAAGAGCAATTAGTACTTTTTTTTTCTGAGGATTGTGCGTATATATTCTGGTACACTAAGCGTATGAGCAACATTTCACCGTGGTGATTCTATTATTATTATTATTATTTGAGTACCCTAGAGCTATTATAAGCTATTCTAGTACTTTTACATGTAGTTTAAGTGGGAAAACCCTTTATATAGAAAGAAAAACCCCCTCGCTTTTATTCTAGGTTATCTTTACCTTACTATAACCTATAATTATATAAAGCGTATTTTAAATTATATAGGTTAAAGGTGCTTACTAGGCTAGCTCTTTTTCACTTAAAATACATTTATAGGTATTTTTTAAATGTAATGTATTATATTTAAATATAATACACGAAAATACAATACAATATAAAATATAATATATAATACACTTGTATTTACTATATTTAT